GCACTCGTAGCTTCATCCAGCACCAAGATGTTCGGCTTACGTACGATAGCCCGTGCAATAGCAACACGTTGCTTCTGACCTCCAGACAGAGACACACCCTTCTCACCGACCAGTGTATCGTAGTTCTCCGGTAGTGACATGATGAAGTTGTGTGCGTTCGACAACTTGCAAGCCTCGATAGCTTCTTCACGAGTCACGTTGTCTCCCCCCATAGCGATGTTCTCGAAGATTGTCGTGGCAAACAGCACCGGCTCCTGCGAAACCATACCGATCTGTGAACGTAGCCACTTGACGTTCAACGTCTTGACATCCCGACCGTCAAGGTAGATCGTGCCACTAGTGGGGTCGTAGAATCGCTCGATCAAAGCAATCAAAGTACTCTTACCACCACCACTGGCACCCGCGAACGCCACCGTTTGGCCAGGTTCGATAGTGACATTGTAGTCACGCAGAATCTGAGCGTCAGGACGGCTTGGATAAGTGAAGTTGACATTCACAGCCTCGATCTTGCCTTCACACTTGTCGGGAATAACCCCCTCGTCCTCCTTCTCAGCATCAATGGCGCTAGGTGTATCCAAGATGGTAAACAGCTCTTCGGCCGCACCGGCAGCCTTGGAGACAGCAGTAACATTGGGTGAGATCTGTGCGAGCGACCCAGTACCCATCATGACACCGAAGAAAGCAGCAAACACATCTCCGGGTGTAGTATCACCTTTCGAAGCCTTCCATCCACCATACCATAATCCAATCGAGTACATGATCCACACACTTCCCAGGAACATGGAAAACACCACCGACGTCATCTTGTGCAGCGCGATATTCTCCCTCTCAGCTTCAAACACCTTGTCCTCGAACTTCTTGATCGCCTTCTGCTCGCCATTCAGCGACGCTACCGTCCGAATCGACCCCAGCGTCTCCTCCGCAACGGATCCAGCCTCAGCGTACACCTTCTGAGCCCAGTCTGATTTAATCCTCATGGTCTTAATCAACCAGCCCAACGAGATGGTCATAAAAGGCATGACACAAGCCATGACGAGCGTAATATCCCAGCCTCTTACAAAGCCGATGACAAAGCCCACAACGAATTGCACAGTGAACCGGAACGAGTCTCCGAGTTTCTGACCCATCCCGTCCTTAATCTTGACCGTGTCGCCCGTCAAGCGACTTGACAGTTGCAGAGCGTCGTTCTCATCGTACCAACTAATGTCCAAATACAGCATGTGCTTGAGTGCCTCGCTCCTCAGAGCTTTCATCTGTCTCTCGGCACTGTAATAGAACGTCACGTAGCTCAGATAGTCTGTAAAGAACATGGCTACAGCGATGAGGAAGAAGTCTAGCGCTGCCTTGTTCACTGTATCCATATCCACGGGGATGCTGCTGAAGCCCGTAAGAACGTCACCGAAGACGATGGCCATGAGCGGGAAGAGTGCACCATTGGCCCCCGCTGTAATGACGCCCACTACTAGCAGCACTTTGTCCAGTGGAGTGGCGTAGCGGTACAAGTGCGTGAACTTGAAGCTCGTGGGGCCGCCGTGCACGATCTGGCGGCGCAGACTCGGCTCCTTCTTGGACGCGGAGAGGTCGGACTCGCTGCTGGTTGCAGGCTTGTGCCGAGGCGTCTCAACGCGCTGATAAGCGTCGTCTACCGGGGACTTGGCCGGACTTGGCATGACGCTTGAGGATCTGGTGGCAAGTTGAACAATGAGTGCAATGACTGAAAAGGTGAATGACCATCATTCTGAATGGATGCACGTTTTGGACGTTTTATGGTTGGAACTGTGATGATGCATGCGTTTAAGGTTATTAGAATGGATAGAGAGTCAAGCCTGGAGAAGCTGATAAAGGGGTCGGTTGTGTGCGTTGGAGGCGACGTGGTTGACAGCAACGCCGCTGGTTGTCACCGTTGGTTGTCTGGATCATGAGATGGGGGCGGGTGCGACTGGCAACTCGCACCGAGACTTGAGCATGAGCGATTTGAAATGTTTTTTTTTTTTTCAAAGTTTTTGAAAGGCAATCTTTTATGTCAAGACGTTAGCATATACTATCATGTTAGAGAGGTTTCAAGCTTGGCAATCGTGCCACTTTCCTGGTGTTGGCAGTAAAGCCGTTAGCGAACAACATTTGCAGGGGTCCTTTAGCCACAGGTTGACGTTTCTTGTTGCTCTATGAGAGAGCTGCCGTTGTACAGTGCTAGCGTCAGCTTTCACCAGTATAATCGTGTGCTGCTGAGCGTATGTACCAGTAGTACCGTTTTGGCGTCAACTATCGTCAGTGTAATCACAAGATATGTGTTCTCGAAGGATTTGAATGGCATACTGAAAGTAAGAAAAAAGTGCTATGCCCCTTCAATATAGCTTCTGACAGTTACATATCCACATACATTCTGATGGTTGCGACGCTGATGAGTGGTTGACAACCACACAGCAACGCGGTAACCAGTGGTTGCACCTTTGTATTTTTGCATTCTACTGTATGCAGTCGTCGTTGACATTCGCACGTGCGGGACCGTCATTCCGGCATGGAGCGTTTACAATTGGGAGTCGACTTGTCAACGGGGTACAATAGAGACTACATAGCTGCATCCAACGAACAACAAACCAGTTGCCAAACCCATTTCTAAAGCGCGGATCCTCAGAGTGTTGTTAACACGAAGGCCATACATCGATACAGAACAGCAATGCCGTATTCATGATTGCAAAGTAACAATGAGTTCATCAGCCCTGGGCCATGGCTGGTCATGTAC